AATGCAACTTCTGCTGATCATAAATTCTAGTCATATTTCACTATTTCACTTTCCGAAAACGTTAGTTTGTCCTTTTTCTTCCTCTGCAGTTTCCTTGCATGGTGGAATGAAAAGGATTTCTGTTGATACAGAGTCCACACCTAGGTCATATATCATGCCTTGGGTGTCTGCTGGCACTGTGGTGGTGAATTTAGAGAATGCCTATGAAGGTCAAAGGTGAGCGGGCTGGGCAAGCATCAGGCATCAACATACTTGCTCTTCCCCTCATAATATGGCAAAGCATTTATTAAAGCAAGGATGTAATAAATCACAGCTTATTAGGCTATAAAATCTAGGCTAGGGCTTTAGAAGACAGCATATCTCTCTCCAAAAATTGAGCCTGTCATGTTAAAAACTTGATCTAATGGCTTCATTAAGAGCATGAATAGCACATAACAAGTAAGCCAGCTCAGTATGAACGAAAGGACCTCTGCATTCCCCTTCAACTGGCCTGAGCCTGCAAGTCTGACAGTTGAGCATATCAGTTTGCAGCTGTGAGGGATAATCATCTCACTAAATTTAGACTATTGATCAGGTGTGGATATGTGCAGGAAATGTGGCAAGCAGTACAGTATGCTTCCTGTTCATTCCTTTTTTCCCAGGAAAAATTTGGAATAAATTGAGATACACGTTTCGATTGTTACAAATGAAGTTGGAAATGTGTTGCCTTATAACTGATTACATTTAAGCCTTTAGGGATCGTAGCCTTCCCAGACTGACATTTGTGTGTGTGTGTGTGTGTGTGTGTGTGTGTGAGTGAGAGAGAGAGAGAGAGAGAGAGAATCAGTTTAAAAACTTGAATGTTATCAGTTACTTCAAAGACCCTTTCAGCTTAACTACATACTCTACAGATAGATAACCAACTGGCTATTTAAACATCGGAAACGGTTGTTAAATAAAAACAATGCTGTGGCCGGAAGTCCATTATCGTATTAAAACAAATAAAACATTCCCCAAACCTACGGGGAATACATAACTGCTCATTAAGGAAGACATGCCTTCATGTAGGACTTTTTGTTTTCTTCCTATAACAACAAAGAATTTCCCTTCCTTCCTTTATAATTCAGATTATTTGTCACTTTCTTTAAGTTTAAATAACTTGATGATAAGCATTTATTCGTTTAAATAATTTTTCAAGCAAAAATGCCCCAAATATAGTAATTTTCTGTTTTCCTTTGTTTTACAATATAAATTCAACATCTTTGGCATTCTGCTTGTTGGCTGGATAAAAATGTTTGACTACCTTGTGCTCTGGGATACTGTGATCTGCACTTTTCAATGCTTCCTTACATTTGTAAACCAAACAATTAATTGATTAATCAAGAAAATAACTGACAGCTTAATCAATAATAAAAACATTTGTTAGTTTTTGTTGTATTTAATTTTCATGTCTATGTTCGATGTTTGTGCTTTAGCATACGCTTTTTGATCAAACTGCTGTGTCAATAGAGCTTCAAAGAGAGAAGCAGAAATAGAGAGACTGTAGGTTTTGGAGGATTCATGGACGTGTGTGCACAGGTGGGTGTGTGCCTGTCCTGTGAATCCACGCCTGCCTACAGAGATGGAGAATGTTGATGTTGACTGTCACACTCTCACACGCCCATGACATTTTTACACCAGCACCAGAGGACAGGACGTCTTTCTTTCAAACCACATTCAGATCACACATTTGCGCCACAACTGCTTGCAGTTCATACTTGTTGAAACTTCTCTATAATAATTCCTGTTATGCTGCCCTTACTAGACAAAATACTATAGGCTGACACATTCCAAGACGTTCTTACGCAATGCAGTGGGTATTTTAGAAGACAGCAATTTGAAGTAATTATCTTCTCCACAGATCGTAGTCTATCTATATAAAGCTCAGACATTCCTCAGCTGAGTGTGATGTGGCAGATGAAATAAAAGAAATTAAAATCAGTGGGTCAACTCAGATACAATACACACATACACACACACACACACACACACACACACACACACACACACACACACACACACACACACACACACACACACACACACACACACATACATACGATAAGATAAGCCAAAATGTGCAGTGCCCAGTCTGTGAGTGTGAGGGCAGCAGAAAACAGGTGGAACTGTCAGGACAACTGTCAGCCCCAAGGGACATGTACTGTACAAATTTGAGCCAAGAATGAAGATCAATCTTTTACACTACCCAGACATACACACACACAACCATGTCAAATTATTCACTGAATTTAGTTTTTGTGCTGCATAAAAGCATATTTATAGCACAATAATCAGCTAACCATACATATACACTAGAGAGAATCATTTTTGTATTTCTTGCTCTCCACAGAGACAGTACTACATAATTTCATGAAAGATGGAAGCAGACAGATACAGTAACAGTAGATAGTAATAGGCTCCTTTCTTACCTGTGCTCCACATGGATTGCCCCTCTGGTCCTGCTGCTGCTCTTACTGAGTTAATCTCCAAACCTATACAACAGGCACACTGAGAAACAACTATTTCCTCTGTGAAATCCTTCCCAGCATGAAACCTTCTTCAGGTGGCAGAAAAATAACCGGAAAGATCCTCAACTGTTCTCATAAATTTGAAAAGAGTCCAAGAGCTGTGTATGCAAACAATATAGCCTTATGCTCACAATGGCAATGTAAAGGACAAATGGAAATAGAGACCAGAAACACATTGCCTCTATCACCTCCTCTCCACCTCTCTACATCCTATCTCCTCCCTCCCTCTCTCTCTCTCACTCTCAGCCCTGTGTGAAAACAAAGCTAGAGCTGGAGATTCCAGGAGCTAATCGTGGCAGACCTTAATAAGTGAGGGCAGTTGTGTCAGAAGAAGGAGAGAGCTGAGAGTTGAAGGCAGTAACAGGGAGGCTATGAGGGGAGGAAGAATCAAATGTCAATGAAAGCATGAGGAGTGGGTACAATATGGGTATCAGCCTATGAAGTTGTGGTACAACACATGGCACAAACTTTCTAGCAATCAAAACACTTGCAAAACTGTCGCTCAATGAAGACCTTCCGTCAGGAGAGGGAGAGTAATTTTGTAAATAATCTATATTGGCCTTTCTTACTGAAGCTCTCACACATTTTCACCGGTACAACATATGACACGACCACTTTTAGTACAAAACTTGGGAATGAAGGAGGTCAAACTGGTGAAACTTACACCAGTGGTGGAACAATGTTCAGAGAAACAGCGAATGTTGAGAAAAACAGTGAAAGATTTGAACATATGGAAAAATGCAGTAACACACACATGCGTAAATTCAGAGGTAGATGTTATTCTGCACTGTCTGCAGTAAGCAGCCACCCACTACACAGGCCACTTGCAGCTACAGTTACATGAAATCATATTTAAGTAGATGTCCAGTGTGTTCAGTCCAGGCCTGCTGCTCAATAAGCCCTTACATAGTATCACCTTTCAAAGGGCTGCCAAATATTAAAGTGTGATACACACACAGTATAAAAATCACACACCCTCAGTCTTATTAAGCAGACACACTGCGTCTCAGCACCCCCTGAGGCACTCTGCTGGAAGATAAGGTTAGAAGGGGGAAAAGGACAGCAGTTTACACTTGTAAGCACATTTCAGCACCCTCGGGCCTGGGGGGTAGAGTTACAGGCACACACTGCGCACCAGGACTGTCCCTGTCTCTCACAGCAATAAACAGCCTGATAAAGTTTACCCTATAAACCATTAAATTGGACAGCTGTCTATGTTTACTTTTAAATTTCTTAAAAATTCTTAGCTGAAATTTTAATAAGGATATCTGATACTTGTGGTGGTTATGTATCAAATACCTACACACATCTGAATGGAAAACATGATGTGGCATAGCTTGTAATAGAAAAGGTTTCAGATTATGAAAAAGTTAAAGGAATTAAGAAGTCACCACAGACTCAATCTCAGCCTCTTTTGAAATAACTGGAGAAGACGAGATGGGAGAAAAGAATAAGTATTGATCACTGCAACTAAGAGCATCCTTAAATTTCTCAATAGCCACCAGGGGGAGTAAAGTCCCTCCACTTTCCCAGGAGGTATAGGAGAAACACATTACAGTTGATGTGACTTTAAGCTAAATTTAATCTTTTTTTAAAGTACAATATATTTTTATAAGTGTGTGACCTGCTTCAAAGGATTAGGTCAGGTGATTTGCTATGGATTACAGTGCCCTCAAGGACAGGTTCACATTTCAGTCTATTCTACAACAACACTGACCTGTCCCTCCACTGCAAAAAATTAATTTGGTACTAAAAAGACTGTAACTTTGTAATAAAGAATATTCAAAGATTTAAATACTGAAGCTTTGACATGATGAGTAGATTGACTGTATAATTTTATTTTCTCTTCAATTTGTATGAAGATATATGTCTACATAAATCTACACATCACAGTTGTCATGAAAACTATGCATATATTAATATAATATATAATATTTTCTCAGTTACAGGGATGGCCCTACACCACTAAGGACCTGCTTCAACAAAAGCATGCACTAACACAATAAAAAGGCCCAATTCACACCAAACCCTGTACTAATGCCTGAGCTGAAACGACTAATCTAAAGCAAATTTATTTTACTCCTAACTGATGAAGTCTGAGATGTGGCTGAAAACTCTGTAAAAAGCTAACAAGACTACTTTGAATTGAATTGGGTTAAGATCCAAGTAGAAATGTAATTTAGATATTTAGAAAGAAAAGGTTCAGTTTGTACAGAATATAGACAAATACACATCACTGCATCACATGAATAAAATCATAATGTCTGTGTGGCACATTTTCAACTCATAAGATGTCCTACATACATCCTTGTCAAATTAGCATGTAGTTCCTGTAATAGGTAGAAAGGCTTGGCCCTACTTAGCCTGATTGGACCTCTTGTAGAAGGAGTGTGGTGACCTATCATAGCCCCGCCCACCTTGAACCTGAGCAGAGTTCAATCAGCCAAAACAGAAAGCACCTGCGGAAGTGTGCAAAGGCACGCTTCACATGTCCATATGAACAACTACACTGTGAATTAAAGTCAGTTGAGCCAGTTTTTGCTGAAGAAATGGCCAGCATAGATGTACTGACAACAAGGTTTTACTCATATGATAAAATGTACAGTCAGGAGTTACGCGAACAAAGATTTGTGGACTGGCCGTTTAGAGAGGAATGTAACTGCACACCTGAAAAGGTAAAAAGGCTGCTGTGCGTCAGCGGAGAGCCATTGAAGTCATAAGAACACTTTTTAAATTGTGAAATGCTTTCAGTGAATATTTGTAAGTAATCATTCATGGGAAGTCTGCAACAAAGGTTCAGCAGGAGGTCAAATTGGAGACATGTGATCTTTCCTCTAATTTTACTCTGGATGTGATATGTCAGCTCTTAAAATCTTAGAAATGCAACCTAATTTACAATAACCTACACAACTGATGAAAAATGATTATGGCTGATGAAAATAATTATGTGTATACTCCAACCTTGTTCACACAGCAATTTTATAGCAAAGCCTTTAATCCAAAGCTGTGACAGCTTGTGATACGGCTAAGCAGGTGCCAGATTCAGTTTCATTGTATCAAGTGTCCAATGCACAGACCGTTTTCCCACCCTAGCCTTGTCATGATGGATGGGCTGCTGACAACTCACTTGATGAGCAACACTCATATGCCATGTTACCAGCTCTTAACCCCCCAAGAGTCCAAGGATCATCTTCTGGTTTTATCCTCACTGACATTCCTCCTTCAGCAAGGGTCTTCTGTTCTTGGATTGCACTTGTCATCTTTGTCACTGAGTTATCAAATCATAAAATTCCTTAATTTAGAGTTTTGTTTTACAGTATAGACACATGCTACAAACATTATAATTGCTGTTTTGATTGTCTTTGCAGATGGCCAAGGCTGGGTTCGTCCACTGCCCCAGTCAGAATGAGCCTGATGTTGCCTGCTGTTTCTTCTGTCTGATTGAGCTTGAGGGCTGGGAGCCAGATGATGATCCCTGGTAAGAAGTAGTAAGGTATTGTATTGGGTGTACAGCAGCTTGAATTTATTTCATCTGTAAATAAAATCTGAACTGAATGTTACCCACAGCCATCACAAGATAAATTGTGATATACAGTACATCGTCATAGAGACTGAAAATATGACTGCCACATAAAGTTGATCCAAAAAAACGTACTTAGATGCAAATAATACAGCTGTTTCTCCAATCTTTTTGTTGTTTGGTATTTTTGCTTTTACAGAAGCTTGTATCCTGATTGAACTTGATTTACTTTCCTCCATGTGCTACATTTATAGATTGTCTTTTTTAAACACATTTCTTGACACTTTCTCTGGCCAGGTCTGAACACATAAAACGCTCCCCTAATTGTGGATTTTTAACCATGAAGAAAGACTTCACCGAACTAACTGTGGCTGAATTCTATCACATGGAAAAGGAGAGGCTAAAGATCTACCTTGTAAGTGTCACTACTCTGTGTGGATTGTGAGCAATGAAATTAGGTTTTGCCAAAGTACTTATGCAGAGGTTGCTCTATATTCTGCTTGTTTTTTTTTCTAGAGGAAGGTTTGTCATAAGAAGATGGCATATTTGCGGGATGACATAGACCACACGCTTGAGAGCCTTAAATCTCAGTTGGAGTCTATATGAGTGAAATCAAAATTCCTGTCTACATAGTAATTGTATTGCATCACTAATCTGTGGCAAGAGGCTGTAGTATTCACTCAACAGTCTGATGTACTGGCAGTTTGAAATATCAATAAAGTTTTGAGAAATATTACACTTTGCTTGTAGTATTGTCTTTAACCACAGGATGGTGCTTTTGCTCTAAAGCTGCCGTTTTCACATGTCACAGACACACTTTCTGGAGTTTCCAATCTTACACTCAAAACCTTTACAAAGGCAATCTGAAATGAAAGCGCACATTGAGAAGGATTACAATGTGGTCTATATTCCCTCTTTTCAACCAAATACTTACCATTTTCCTGAACGTGCCACCATCTCTACCACCCCTTTTCAAACCTTGACCCTGGACAGATGGCCTGAAGCCCCTCCCTTTCAATACCAACTGTTGCCCCAGTAACATCTGTTACATATAGGGGGACAGTGTAGACTGAGAGGGCTCACCAGGACACTTGCGTAACCTTGTGAAGAGGACTAAGATTTAGGAAACACTGAATTATGCTGCAGATGACAATGGAAATAGTGGAAAATGTGCTTATGTAGAAACTCCAAGAAAGCTCTGTCACACTGTAATGCTTCACGGCTCTTATTTAGCATTTCAAGAATAAAGGTTTAACCCTGATATTATTTGCCAAAGTTGTTGCAATGTCTTAATGTCTCTTTGTGAAGCAGAAACAGATGATGTTGAGCTCAGTTTGTGTGAGTATCTCCCTGTGTCTGATGGGATGGCTGGTTGGAGTGCAGGATTAAAAGATGCTATCCCTTCTCCAACCTTCCACTGTTCTGGATTAATGTCTAATGCAACACTCTGGCCACTGAGCCCAGATCAGCTGCTTAATTCTCCTTTATCCGCTCACTGCAGAGCAAATTGAAGAGAGAATATTTTTAGCCCAAAAAGTAAAACACCCATAGGTGATGTAACATTTCCAATGAAACTGTTATGCTTCCATTTTTCAGGGTGTTTTTTTTTTTTTTTTTTTTTTTTTCTTAAATCAATGCTGTTGCAAGATATTCCCATTCATATTTTGTTGTCATGGCCACAAGTAATCATTTTAGATATATGTAGGGGAGAAACTAAATGTACCAGATAAAAACGATTTATTAATGAGATGTTGGTTTTGACATTAAGTGGTGTGGTATTTGCATAAGTACACAGTTTATAAGGAGCATGTTTACTGTAATTGCTAATGTAACTCTAATCAGGGTTTATAACCCACATCCAGAGTAAATCCACTTATTTATGTGTGCTCCAGATAATGAACAAAGAGAATGGCATGGTGTGACTTCTGTCCCTGAGCGGCACAGATGTGATAGATGGGCTTATCTGTGGGAATGGTGCAAAACTGTTGATTTGATTGGATCATAACTGAGGTGGGGGCTTGGCTTCATATGTTTTCCCTTCCCTTAGTTTTATAACAGTTATAAGTATAACCCCATTAAAATGTATTTAGAATTAGCCATTAAGCTAATAGGAATTTGTATTGCACTACTGCACATAGATCTGGTTCTTTTCTGATCTAATTAATACACTGTGACAAAGGGTGCACCAGTGGCCTCCACTGCACTTTTTCTAATTAATGAATTTTTCTGCTAAACAAACTGTAAACAGTGAGTGTAGCAGATGGACAAACGGACAGATGTTGCTAACAGAAAGTTTACAACCTGAGCTTTCCATCAGGCCCCATCTGTTGCTCTTGTGCCCGGTACCTCCCTCTACCCTCCTCCAATGCTTCTCCTCTCTCCTCATCAGCATCTATCACCAAACTCTCTCCCCTGATGCTCCACACACTGCACTGCCTTAAATGAATGACATCAGCTTTTACCCTCTTGCCTGACCTGGTTTAACCCTGAATACACAAAGGCTAAATGAGCGAAAATATCACATCTGATCATTAAGGATTTAAACATCTTACATCTTTCTTGCTGTGTTTTTAGCTTTGCTGACTTGTTCCACTCTGTTTGCTTGTTAGAATATACAAAGCAGGATAAATGATTATAAAGGCTGGCATGTTGACAGGCCAGCTGACAGAGAGGCCTACACTGCACAGTGATCCTGAACCAAAGCCATGTGAATGTGTCTAGATGACGCTGAATTTATAGATTACCAGAGCAAAGGGACACTCCAAGTTACACTCTTCCTTGCATTATAATTAGGACGAATCTAAAATCCCTTTTCAGGTTTTCTTCTCCCTTCTCCACTTCTAATGTTCTCCCACGTCTCTGGCAGTAGGGCATGCTGGCTGCTCGCTCTCTCAGACACCATGGCCCTCCTACCTTGGCTGTTTTTTGTGCCCTCTTCGAAAGGGACCTCCATCTGTCCCTACACTCAGCCCATTGTGGTGTCCCAAAGCCCAGCAACTTCCACAATGCAGTGGGCGTGCAGGAGGGGGGGGTGGCAGGGTAAACACGACAGCATCCAGATCCCATTAGAAGCTCTTTAACTCCTACACTCTAATACTCTCAGAGAACTCTGGGAGGAGAAGGCCCACCCCTTATCCTCATGCACACAATGTCACCTTTTACATCCACTCCCATAGGTAATGAGTCCGCGAGCTGCCCTCTTTCCTCCCCTCCCATGTACATCTCCTTCTTTTCTTTTTCTCTTGCATGGGTAGAACAAGCTGTTATATCATTTTCTTTAGCATTTTTTCTTTGACTATATTAACATAATTTTTTTTTTACTTTAATTAAATATTTCATTGGTGGAACTGTGGTGTTTTTATTAAAAGATGTTGCTGTAGAGAACAATCCTTGGATATTTATTAATGTTGGAATTAATTTTATTAATGTTTCACATGAGTTCAGTCCATAAATGATAGTCTGGTGTGATAGAAAGAACCAGGGTCAAGAAAAGTTAAAGTTTTGCTCATTTATATTTAATTGCTTGCACCATGTTGACCATGACCAACCCATCGTCATTTTAATTCCCCCCTCCTCCAATCCCTATATCTTCTCATAACACCAGCCTTGCCATCTTTCATTGTTTTTCTCTGTTTTTCCCACATCTTTTTCTCCATCCATCTCCTCGGTCTTTCTTCTACCAGCTGCTCCTCTAAGTCTAGGGCGGGGTGCTCTTTTTCGGGGTGCTCCACCTCTCAACCTGGGCACTCATATCCCCATGCTCCCCACAGAGGAGTGTGTGTGTGTGCGTGTGTGTGCATGCGTACTGTGGCCCAAGAGGAGGGGGATCACTGTGTTCGCCCCAGCTTAAAGGCAAAGGGATTACCGGCACACAGACACTGATTAAAGCCTTCCAGCCTCCTATGGCCCCATTAATACAATCTTAATCACAATGCTTTATCCCTCTATCTAGCTCCTATGGATCAGGACCTTTTCATTTTAGTGGGAGCCCCTCTTGTTTGGCCAGTGGATTAAGTGTGCTGCACACATAAACTAGAATATATGCACGTGAGTGAGAAGGAAAGTTAGCAAGCTAACTCTGTTAGATCAGTTTTTGTTTTATTTTGTTTTTTGTTTGTTTTTTGTCACGCTGCCAACTTCCTGTGTCAAAATGAATTGACTTAACAAAAAGCAAAGATTAGTGAAGTCCCAAAATTAATTCGGAATTTTACTTGATTTTTTTCCAACCCAATTAATGGACTAAACTACATAACTGCATATAAAGTAGTTCAAACTGGCTCCAGCTGCTATAGCTGCTACAGCAGTAATGTGCTGCTTGCACATCAATGCATCAGTTAATATGTGCAAGTCAAGGGACATTTTTCTGCAGAACAAATACCTTCAGTTTTGTTACTGTAAGTACATGTTATGAAATAAGATTTTGAATGCAGGGCTCTTAACTATGTTTACATTGTATTTTTACATTTTATTGTACATTGGTATTTTTTTACTCAAGTAAGGGATATAAATACATATTCCACCACTGGATATGACCTCACTGCCCCAGGGGGTTGAGCTACAGGTCGCACTCTGCTCCCTTCTGCCTCGGCCAAGATGGCATTGCAGACATGTGCTCCCCTACCATTAAGAGACTCTTATGCCCTTATCATAGATAGGAGCCACTTGATACACTCAACCTGTTTTGTTTAGTATTTAACATTCATTCAAACATGATAAATATGTCTTTGCACCAATGAAGTTGAATACAAAATACTAAGCCTAAAAAGTATTTAAGCTATATATAAATATCTTTTCTATATCTTCCTAAATTGTTCCGTGTGACTATCAAACTACCTCTCCAATCTCCAGAGACTGTCCTGTATTTTTGTAATCTTGTATCCAAAGTTAATTTACGTGGATTATTTCCATATCCACCCACTCATGTATTTGGACTTTGGAGGATAATCCACATACCCTGCCCCCCACCGTTTTTGCTGTAACAAAACAGCAAAGACACAAAGAGCGCCAGCTAACTCTGCCAGTACTTTCTCACAGGCCAAATGTCTGCCCGAGTGTAAAGCAATGTGTCATTCTTATGCCAATGCTGACACACAGGAGCAGAGAGGACAAACTTCTGAATGAGGAGCAAGGACCTCAGTCACCTCTCTTGCCCTCTCCTCCTCTTTCCTCTTCTCCTTTACAGCCCCCAGCACACTAATTCCCCTTTCTCTTTCCCTCTTTCATCCCTCTCTTACATGCTCTCACTCTCCTCTCTCTCTCCCTCTCTCTCCCCAAATTGGCCCAGCTGTCCATCAGCCCTCCCGCAGTTGCCCCAGCTGTCTGCCCTCCCCAAACGAGAAGCCCCACAACAATACAGGTCACAGGTCAAGAGAAAGAACAGGCTGCGTTCACAATGGACCAGTGGCGCCCAGTAAAACAATCGTTCCCTTTTTCTTCTCCACCCTTTCTCCACTGTTGCCAGGACTGGAAAAGACAAACCTTTGGAGAGGTAGCTGAAGAGGGGGGAAGTCCTCTTGGACAACAGCCTCTGAGGAACATTCCTCTCCTTACAATTGCCTAAAGGATCACAATGATAAACACACTTGAACACACTAGCTCTTGCTCTCACCTCTTTACATCTTTACACTCTGCCACCCAGTTCTTTGTCTTTTTCAAGAGCCATCATGCCCTTTAACACCATCATTAAAGTCAAAACTGAGACTTTTGTCATTAGCTGAGTGATATAAATGTTAGGAA